TACTTCTATAACAAATGCATTTTTCCTAATTTTGGACTTATGCCACTTGTCAACTAGGGGCTCATAAATTCTCTCAGCTTATATTGATCTTAAATTATATTTACATTTTTATATGTAAGATAAAGTACAGATATATATAGAAAATTTTTTAGTTATTTTAATAAAATTAATTTTGAAAGCATTTTTTATGAAAATTTATAAATAAAAGAATTTATAGTATAAAAATATTTATGAATTAATTTATATATTTTTAAGGCTGCCAAAAGACGAAAAGACTAAAGCAATTTGGTTTGCGTTTATTGGTCATGAAATAAATGTAAACAGTGGAATTTGTAGCAAACATTTTAAACAATCTGATTTTATTTACAAAATATACGGAGATGGTATTAGACGATTCCTTAAACAAGGAGCATTTCCATCTATACAGTTTTCATCTGATATTAGGTAACTTTCATAGTATAATATATATAATATTAAAAAAAATAGAATATTATATATGTAATATTATATATTGATACTTACATAATTTAGGGAAAACTTGAAAGATGAACTTTCTGAAGACATCAACAATTGCATTTCATCGAGAACTGAAAGAGATACTGATCCTGAAAAAAATATAACAATAAAAGAGGAACAAGAATGCATAATTATAGATGAAACTGTAATAAAGGCAGAGAATTCAATGGAGGGGGATGTTCAATCCATAAGGTTGGTTTACATAATAATCACACACTTAGACTTTAGTTTTATAAAAGACTTCCCCGTTTTATTTTTAGTGAAACTGAGGATCCCTTAACCATTATGGAACATAATACTAACTTGGAAACAAGTACAGTATTAGGAAATGAGATACAAGAATTCATAAATATAGATGAAACACAAATAAATACAAATTCAACAGATATGAGAAGGTTAATTTAGATATATAATAGTAACTTAATCTCTTATACAAATTTTGTATAAAATAATTTCATTAGTATATAAATGCGGGATGGTTTGAAAAAACCTTCTCATTTTATTTTTAGAGAAATCGATCCCTTAGCTATTATAAAATATGATACTGACTTGAAAACAAATATAATATTAGGAAATAAAATACAAGAATCCATAAATATAGATGAAACAATCAATACAAATTCCATAGATAATCAATTGGAAAGGTTGGTCGCTCTTTCATACATATATGATATCTAATAATTTCATCTCTATACAAAGTTTTATGTATATTTTAAATAACTATGTACAAATGTAGAATGGTTTGATAAAATTTTTGTTTTATTTTTAGAAAAACAAGCAATTCTTTAGCGACTAGAAAACGTTTCCACAATGTAAGATACGTTGGAGATTTATGTCGACAGGATTTCACTTCAGATGAATCTTGGCGTTTATTTAAAAACTATTTAGCAAGTACAAAAACAAAAATAAAATCTTTAAATCATAAAATAGTTTATTTAAATAAAAAAATCGATAGTCTGCAAAAGATAAATTGTTTTTAAAAGATTGAAGAAGCCCAGGGAAAAAATGATATATGTATGAACATATAATTATAATATATAATATGTTTATATAATTATAAAATGTCAATTTTTTACATAATTATATATAATTTTGAATATTTTTATACAAATAATTATATATGACATTTTATCAAACATTTTTTTTCGGGAGTGCAGATTGATGGTCAGTAAAATTGCAATATTATATTAATGATAACAATTAAGAATCTGCACATGAAATATTAGAATAACATTTTCTAATATTATTTATGATAAGAAAATTCATATATACATTCTGCTACACTCTTTGCACCAAACATAATGTATAAAACTTTTTTTAAATCTATGTACATTTAATAAAATATTGACGTTCATAATAAGAAAATGTGATTTTTTTGTAAAAAAAAAATGTATAATATGTATATTAAAGTTTTTATATATGTATACTATTAATATATATTATATTATATTAATATAGGGTGCGATCCATTTAACGCTGCAAATGCTTCGTTGATCAATCAGAAAAGAGAATTTTACGAATTCACCAATCGAAGAATATACTTGTTTCATGGCATTTATTTGCAGTATGAAATGGAATTGTATCATCCTTTTATTCATCCAATAATCACTTAATTATAAATATGCCACATTTTTATTAATTGTTTAGATGATTATTCCATAATAAAGTTCAAGAAGCGAGTAATACATAAAAAGGGAAATTGAAAACAAAAGAAAAAGAGACTTGTACAATGAGTACAAATGTTTTATAATATAATTAGTCGAAAAGTAATATTTTTTTAGCTATTAAAAATAAAAAATTGTGCTCTCAGTGAGCTCTTGCATCTGATTGGTCTATATTTTAGGATCTAACAGAATACGCCAGTCAGGTGAAAGAGATTGGTGTTTTGGGCCTTTAATGTTGGCGGATTGGTGTTCCAAAAACCTGGCAACCTTGATCTGGTCACTCTGCCCTGAATTTTTGAACGCATCCCAATTCATGATGTTTGTAAAAGAAAGCCTGTCCTAATTATTTATATCGCGGTAATTTTGTACTTTCCAATAAATACATAATGATGGCCGTTTAACAGATTATTCGTGAGTACGATGACACGCGTTACATTTTTACATCCCGATCTCGGTATTGGTGGCGCGGAGAGGCTCGTTGTCGACGCGGCTCTGGCATTGAAGAAGAATGGCCATGATGTAAATTTCGTGACAACTCACCACGATCCGGAGCATTGTTTCTCTGAAACTAAGGATGGGACGATTCCCGTTACTGTTGTGGGCAACTGGCTGCCTAGGCACATTCTGGGCAGGTTCTATGCGTTCTGTGCTTATATACGCATGGTAAGACGTTGGATGCAGGTCCAATAAGAGATACAAATGACAGTGTTGTACCATATAACAAATCATCATATCCTCTTCGTTTGCCAATATTAAATAAAGATAAAATGATTCAGTGATTGTGTTACACTATACCTTTGTGTGTCTTGTTGGAAAGCATCTTGTCAACACTAAAATAACTATAAAATAATTGAGAAAAATCTGTTTTAAAAAATCTCGATTAAAAGAATTGTCTGAATTTAGAAGCTATTATAGAAATAAATTTTTATATTTTTTACAGATATATGCAGCTAGCTATATAATATTTAGTGATCACCGGCCGGAAGTTGTTTTTTGTGACTTAGTGTCCATCTGTATTCTTGTACTTAGATTACGCATTCCATATGTAGTATTTTATTGTCATTATCCGGACCAGCTGCTTTCACATCCTGGTGGTTATTTTAAACAGCTGTACCGTATGCCATTGAATTATCTAGAAGAGATCACAACTGGCATAGCACATAAAATATTTGTAAATAGTTGTTATACAAGCAATGTGTTCAAGAGCACATTCAAAAGACTGAAAATCAAACCAGAAATTTTGTATCCTTCCATTAATACAGACTTCTTTGATAAGACGAGAATAGTATCTATAGAGAGGGTACTCGATAGGAAACTTCCAGATGATAGTATTATATTGTTATCTATCAATAGGTATGAGCGTAAGAAAAAACTGTCTGTTGCAATAGAAGCTCTTGCAGAGCTAGAGAAACTTTTAACAAAGGAAGTATATAAGAGAGTTTTCTTGATTATGGCTGGTGGATATGATAAAAGGATTGAGGAAAATGTGGAATATCATCTGGAATTAATAGGACTTGCCGATGAGTTACATGTAACAGACAAAGTGATATTCTTACGTTCACCCTCTGACATAGACAAAGTTTCCATACTCCATCATTGTAAAATTGTGATATATACTCCACCGAACGAGCACTTTGGAATAGTACCTTTGGAAGCAATGTATATGGGCAAGCCAGTAATCGCTCATAATTCCGGTGGTCCCACAGAATCGATAATTTCTGGAAAAACTGGTTTCTTGGTAGACTTATCTGGCGAAGCATTTGCCTCAAAAATAGCTTATTTAATCATAAATCCAAATCATCTTGAGGATTTTGGTAGATCGGGTCAATGCAGATTTTCGGAAATATTTAGTTTCGCTGCTTTTAGTGCTCAATTAAATAATGCGATAAATGACTTGACTGATGCAAAGACGAAATAAGATTATATATATATATTTAAGATTGTTTTCTATTTTTTTGCATGATGTATCTACAACTTACTAAATAAGGAGGTAAATGAGTATAATTTTTCAATAATATATTTATTTCATATATATATCATATTAATTAAATATACTTGATTTACGAGAGATATACATTTTCTACTTGATTTTATTTAGCCTAAACTACTTAGGTTATTTAATTATATTCTATAAAAATATAAAATTTACTATATGATTCATACATTTATCAAAAGACACAGTTGTGTTTCGCGTACAATTCACGTGCAATGACGAAGCAGAATTTGTGTAAACTTAGCTGTCAATTAAAATTTTCTTATGAAATCATTTGTATTTTGGATAAAAACTTTTGAAGCGTAATTAAGATTCAATAATCATCTAGATAATTTTCATTGATTATTTTTATATTACGCAGTTAACCAATATAAAGTTTTTGAAATTATTTATATTTTATATGAAGAATATTTTTAAGTATAATTGAAAGGGTAAATTCGATTGAGTTTTCTCATGTCTTATATTAATAAAATTAGGCTCATTCAACGCGTTTTTACACGAACTTTTTTTTAGGAGAAGTTAAGTATATCTTAGCGCGCCAAGACGTTGTCGTGTCTCTTGATAAAAATAGAAGCTACGTTAAAGTTAAGAGCAGTTGAAAGGAGGTAAAAAACATATTGTAAGTATTTTTCAGGGATAGCAGATAACGTGTTACTTGTGACGCCGTCTTCTTTTTCTTATTGTCTCTTATTGTTACTTACCCCGGATCTACAATAGGTGTTTTAAGCCTTAAATCATAAGAAATTGACCAATTACAGTCGAATTCGAGGAGAATAATCAACTATGATTCGTCCATTTCTTATGGCTTAACGCTTAAAACTATTCTAAATCCGGGGTTACCCCGCAAACACAATAGAGTAGTAAGCCTTAAGCCTTAAGAAATTGAACAATCACAGTCGAATACTATGATTGTTCAATTTCTTAAGGCTTAAGGCTTACTACTCTATTGTGTTTGCGGACTTATTGTTAGTTATAATAACGATTTGGTAATAATTGAGTACAATCTATGAAATCCAGATGAAAAGATTTCAATACAATCGTGCAAAACTTCCTATAAATAGGACATTTTGAACTAATGAAAGTTCTTACGGAAAACCGGCAAGTTGATTGGCTACACATTTCTTGATCCGAGAACTTTGGCCGAGTTCTAGCATCGTGAACATTTGCTGGATTTACACTGCATCCGATTTTCGTCGTATGACGCTCTGCATCCAATCAGAAAACAGGATTCCGATAATACGAAGCAAAATTCATCGGAATCCTGTTTTCTGATTGGTTGCAGAGCGTTGTACGACGAAAATCGAATGCAG